TTGTGCTCCGCTTTACGCGTAATTTGAGCGTGTACCGGCCCAGTGAGTCGGCGTTTTACCGGCAATCTTACGGGGATACCGCAGGTGTGCGACCTCTCCCCCAACCTCCTCTCCTATAACAGTAGTGAAAATCACGCGTCCGCCGTGTTGTGTGCGCGCCGCGGATCTGCCATTTTTTCTCGCAAGTCACTGTTGACGGCGCGGAGAATATTATTTTTCCCTCCGATCCTTTTCATTCCCATTGTTAGTGCTGAGGAATGTTTTCACTCGGGTGCTGCGTTTTTCTTTTCTTTCATTTGCGTCTACTGCGTTATGAAGTGTGGCCGAAGTGTGGTATTACGCTGCGAAACGAGAAGTAATAATTTACACCGATGAACATTTGAGAAGTGGCGCGGCGTTTGTGCCTACCGTTTTCGATGTTCAATACGCCCCGTATGTACTCAAAACACTATCAATCATTCTCCTGCGCCTAGACATCGAGAAATTTATTTGTTTTATTGGGGCGCTATTGATTTTGGCGGGGGATGACTGATATTGTTTCCGCTGCGGTAATAATGTGTCTATTCGCCTCGGTCCGCGTCGCTTACTTGCTAGCGATAATCACGGGTGAGGTTGGGCGTTAACGCTACAGGATGAGAATCAATCTGGGCGGCTGTCGATGTTGAACGACGCGGAGCCATTATCATAATTGAGCGTCTCGTGTCCGGTACACTTCACCGGATCGGACGCGTCTTTGAAGACGCATCGACGTAATGAGGGACCCACTCCATCCACCCTAATGCATATTTACAATAAGACACGAGCTACATTGCCCCTTCAGCATGATTAGTCCAGTCATCCCCAATGACTGCCGCCTAGTCAACGCTCCATAGTCAGCGTGAAATTGCAATAAGCCGCTGTCATTACGCCATAACGGATGTCAATGTGTGAATCTGTTATCCTAATAGTATATCTACCTATCCCCGATTTCTCTTATTCTTATTATGATGGTCTTATATGAGACAGCGGTACTTCCTCGGGTGAACCGACCCACCAAAGCAATTGCAGTAGCCAAAGCTGCTGCGTAAGTTTACGACATCATGCTAATCGTTCAAGATTCAAGGTTCTGGGTAGCTTCTTGCAATTTGCTTTGTTCTCATATTAATTCACAGAATTAATATACTAGTCTTATTAAACGCTGCTTACCGTTTGTTTCAATTTCAAGACAAAAAAGCGTTTAAACCCTAACACATAGTATAAAACAAAGTCGTCCCGCTGTCTGTCCCTATGTATGCTTAGATCTTTAAAACTACGCAATATATTTTAATGTGGTTTTCTTTAATAGATAGAGTGATTCAAGAGGAAGGTTTATTTGTATAATTCATGCATAATATAGTAGAGAAACATTGATAATTTTAGAGATTTCTAATGCGATGTCGAAAACAGTTTATTATAATTTAACAAAAATTTTAATTCATTTTTGCATCCTCTAAAAGTGATTTATCTACTTCATTAGCCGAACAATCCGATATCCGTAATAAGGGCGAGCAAGCTTACCGAAGCAAATTAATTGGAAGTGTCGCGTGATTTTATTAACTTAATTATATTTCGACGGGCGATTACTCGGCCCAAAGATCTAATGTCGCCTATAGTCACGGAGAACGATCGCACTCCACCCAAGGAATTCGACCAGAGCCTTATAATCGGTGCCAAATAAATCACACCATTAAAATTTACGACGACACCGGCTCCTCTAAATCGGGGTAGTTATAAATATTTTCTGGACATATCACGGAACATTTTACACAATGCCATATAGTCCCAAACTATACAAATCAACCGCAGTACATCCAGGAACCGCAGTGTAGGACGACCCCCCCCCACTAGATGGAGTGATGACCTGTGCATGTATATCGGAAGTCGATGGATGCCTCCGAATCGTACTTCGTGGCAATCTGTAGGAGAGATCTTATAGATGTTTAGCAGTGGACTGAAGCAAGCTGAAATGATGATGATGATGTTGAAACAAATCTTTTAATATAACATACTTAAAGGTATATTTCTACAATATTTTTCCAGTGGTGGGGATCGAATCCCACTAAAGCAAGCTGCAAGATACAAATTCACTGTCCACTACGTCAGTCAGATTGTCTCCCTATTTTGATCGCTCGTGATTTTTAACGTAGAAACCGCTTACTAAACATAGTAAGCATTCCTCACCTTCCCCTCCCTTTGAATACTGCGAAGGCAAAAGTAGCGACGCGATTTGAGGATAAAAAAAGAATTTGATACAGAAAAAAATCAGCCACATCTGCTCAAAATTGTATTCATCTCCATCGTCGTGGCGTTACGCTCCTAAGTGTATAAGCCACACCTTGGATACTGCTCGAGAATCGACCCACCTCGCCCAATAACCGCCACATAAGTCGTTTATTACGAACTCCCTTCCGTTAGATGATAGGCTGAGACCGCAGACCCAACTGGGATACGTCGTTATTATCAATATATCACAATACGGATATACGACGTCTCAGGTAAAAGCGCGTTTTAGGAGAGAGTGGGAACCGCGCGGTGCTAACGGTATTAATTGCCAGCCCAGTAGACCGCTGGTGAATTATTTACGCACAGGCAACGTAAACCGTAGCATAAATACCTCAAATGAAAACTGTGTCTGGAAAAGACCGTCCAACCATGTAAGGCCCCGTCTTTTGAATACACACACGGAGCAAGATTTACAAGCGTATTATGTTCAACCATTGCTTGTTTTATCATCACGGATCATAATGACTCCCAACTGCCAACTTTCTACCGCTAATTCACCTGATGGATAATGATGCAGTCGTCTTGTAGTACACACTTAAGAGAAGCCTATCCATTCTAGGCTTGTAATCAGACGTGGGGGTGGAATGAGGGAGATGGTTGACTACTTATTTTTTCTATGACAGTATTCCGCAGAGAATTAACTTCATTAGTTACATTTTATTAACAATATCATAGAGTCAACCGCCAGAGCTAAGAACGAAACATAGAAGACGTGTACGTTTATACATCGTACGTATATATCGTTAGTTATAATGTGAATAACACTTAATCCGTCCTCGTTTTTTTTTCTGGTAATAACAAAATATAAAGTAAAAAAAATAATAATATCCTAATGTCCCATTTCTGGGAATCCGTCTCTTAGGATACTCCTAGGATAAATAATAGGAGATAGGATAGATAATAATAGGAGACAGAGGGTATTTAGAGCATAAATCTACCATCTGACCCCACTGTGAATTAGCAAACTTAGTACATTATCTTCGACATATTTTGTTTGTTATCGGATAAATGCATACTTCCCCACTGAGAAATTGATAAACTGCATCAGCACTTCAAATTTAAATTATCAATGTCATTGGTGCCGGCACCGGGATTTGAACTCAGGTTGGTCGAGTACATTGAATTAAAAGCGAGCGTCCGGAAACTGGGCCATCACGGCTCTTTATTATTACTAAATGTCTATTAAACATAATATATATTTTTAAATGTACCCTCACAAAAAAAAATACTGTAGTACTCCGAATTGAATTTAATAAATAAACGCGTGTATTCGGAGATAAGAACGAAGCAATTCGTGCCACCAAAGACCTATTTCGCTTTTATTTCGTACTTTCTGGTGGTTGCGAAGCCGGTTGAAGGCAAATAAAATGGATAAACCGTGGACGAAACAAATATTTCCTTTTCCCGAGTTCGATTTCGTCTAACGATTGTTAACTAAGGACGATTGGAAACAGAGAAATACGAGATATAACGAGCACTACTAAATAATACGGGATGATCCGTTTTGTCTTAATCAAAGCGTCCTGCCCTTGTGAATTGCTAATGTACGGCCAGTTCGCCTTTAGGGTTCCGTGCCGCAATTGAAAACAAATAGAGCCCTTAAAAACCGTCTTGCCACACGAGGGAACGAGGCCCTCCACTCCTGGGAACGGAAGGACACGATATAGATTAATAACAAATATTGAACTCTGACCGTTGTTCTGTGAAGTCAATATTTTTCAATAATGGGTTTATGTGCTATTATTGTACCTCTATATTGGTTTTAATTAAATCATAACATATAAGCATTGAACATAATTTAAGTAAAGAAATACATAAGCTCGAATACTATCAAATTTTAAAAAGACAAAATTTTTTGTGTCTTTAGGTCGATTCGAGAATGGTTTAGATTCACAATTCGTTTTTTTCATTATTTATAAGTTGTTGTCGGATCTTTAATTTAAGGACAACGTTTGTCGGGTCCGCTAGTTGGTATATAGTTTTTCTCTTAAGGAGGATGAAGTTGAAGTCGTCATGAAATATTTGAATGTTGTGCAATCATTTCATTTCATTTGGAGAGCGTCCACAAATGAGTGTTTTTTTTTTTTCTATTCCAAAAGGTTTTCATTTTGAATGAATATTAAAATAATTGTTAGTAGAGGTGTATTTATGAGAGTATGTGGGAGGTATGCCAAGGATTATGGAATTATTAAATCGAATGAAAAAGGAAATAATATTCTCGCAAATAGGGTATTAACATAAAACAAAATTAATATAAAGTTTATTTTCTTCGAGGATTCGTTCGTTTATAAATTATTTAAAATACATGTGTATACATATGTAACTTTAAATATTAAATAAGGATTTGCGGCACATGTCTGAGTCAAACACATTCAAAGCATTAAAATACACTTTAAGGAATCAGTATTCCGTTCACGGATACGTCATAACAATTCGCAAGGCTCTAGACATGCGCGATCATCCGATACAGGACCATCTGTTTATCTGGAATGTTTAATAAAACTATAGGCGAAGGGGATTCGATGAATACGTAATGTCTTAATCTGAGGCGTCCGACGTCGATTGCGCAATAACAGGAGGCTGGATGAGCAAAAAGCAGCTGCGGACCAACTCGCAACGCTCGTAACTAAAGCCGTTACGCAATTCGGCAACGGCCTAATTGATTCCTCGCCCTTACGGCCAGACGGGGCGTCGCATTATCGAGCACAGGTGCCGCGCTCCCCAATTATTCGCCTCCTCGCGACGGTATCTCGTGATTCGCAAAATTTCGCCTCCGACTTTAATTGTGGATCGGATATTCTTCCCGTGTGCCGACGCCGGCGGTAATAATGTTCGAAATCGATGCCGCGCGACGGAAGCGGCCCGGTATACACCGAGCCGAGAGCGGGGCGCGACGTGGAGCGCTCTCTACAACCCCCATCGCTGTAGGTGTGTGTTCCCGCGAAGTGAAACTTACGCATTCCACGATTTGTACATGCCCCCAACTCCTGCCGAGTAATTTGTCTAAAAGTACTCCAGGGGCACTGCGACTGTTGGGAGACTTCGAAGGCGTCGTGTCTTCGCTCTTTTCAATTACATTAAAAGCGTAATTATGGAAATTAGTAAAGCGTCGCCGCGCAAACTTCCATGCTCTTTGGTGCCCAGTTTCGATTTTCCTCCGTCTCGTTCGAGTCGTGCCTGTCGCCGGACGAAGTTCTGAAATGCTTAGACGAAACGTAGCGCGCAATTAGTGTAATGGAAGTAACCTTCCCGGGCGGAATTAACGCCATTCGTCTATAGCGAGTGCAAGGGCGCACTCGGCACAATTAAGCTGCGGAGTGGAGAGAAATTGCAACAAGTGCAACGCGCCCCGCTTCGACCACGGTCCATTTAACCCACTCAGCTGTCGGCCATTCCGCAACCCCACTCGCCGCGTAAACACCTGAACCTATATTGCACAGCCGATTCCCTTATCGCCTTAAAAATTTACGTATAACAATGACGGCAGAAATACTCTGCCTTAACCAATAAATGTTTGTAATAAATGTTTCTGGACATGTTTCTACACAACGGTACATGGTCATAAATAATAATAGTCACAAATAAAAAAAAAAAAAAAAAAAATAAGTGCAAAAAAACAAGCTGTTTGTTTTTCTTGTGAAATACACATTAAAACGAACTCTCACACCTTTATTTTGTTTAAATTCCTAAAGGTCAAGAATATTACGGTGCTTGGTGCTTTGCAAGTTTAAAGCAACTTATAAAATTGGAAACGTGATATGTGATGACTATGCCACTTTATTTACATTTATAATATCTTATCATAACAATGATGATAATATTTTGCGGTATTAAGTATTTTCCTAAAAGTTTATTAAATTGTTTTCATTTTGTTCTATCTAGACAAATGTTACACAGATCGTGTCTAACTATTATCTTTCTCTTTAGTAAACTGACTAATACAAGCACACTTCACCTTTTTACCTTTCTATCTTTATCTATGAATTCTTTTATTTCCTCCGATGAAAAGGCAAATTTAACTTTATTGTTTAAGAACGAAGGTTTGTATTTCCCTGCCATCGCGCATAACTTGTTGCTGGCCCTCATATAGTGGCACGCAAGATCAAGCTGTCTTCGCGAACAAGTGCTACTCCTTCCGTATTTTCCGAGAAAACACGGACGAAGTGTTTTCGGGTCTACGACGGGCATTTCCGTTCCCGTGAACATAGGTCGTGATTTAATGTGAAATTTTATCTAGTAGCAGTCTCGAACTTCCGAAAATCTTGCATAGTGCACACCTCTTATGTTTGATTCCGTTTGCTTTTATATGTTAGATTCGTGAATTTCTTACCTATAAAACTGTATTCATTATTAAGATGAATATGATACAAGACTCCCTGGTGTTTTCTTGGAAAGGGGCGCTGTTAATCTCGGTGTTTTTTCCTCACGTTTGCCACAAATTTCTGCTTTACCCGAATTTACGTACTCTATTATAAATTATTAAAGATTTTATACTATAATATATTTTTTTAATTATTTCTAAAACCCTATTTTTGAAGAAAACCCTTTTTGTCACGTTTTTTTAAAGTATAAAATATCTAGAAGATGTTTATACTTAAAATATGAATTAAAGTAATATATATTTTCGACAAATATAACTATTATCTTGTATCTTGTATTAACTGATGTTTTTGCTTTCAGTCCCGAGACTATTAAAGCTTCATCTGACGCAGAACCGGTGGGCTAGCTAGAGCCCACGGGTTTGGGGATATATTATTAAATGATTATTAAAAATTGGTTTTATTTTCACCCTATGTACCATATATTTAAAAAATAACAGCACACTCTTTTCGAGTTTTTTTTTTTCATATTTTAACAAATAATTAAGTGCATACCAACTAATCGCCTTTCAAATTACTCTTGTGACATAAATTGCTTTAGATCATTCGCAATTCGTATCCCGGTTACATTAACGGGTTACCGTTTACAAGAAAATCACCGTCCCCGTTTTTGGCGGAAACGGGACAATAGCTCTAAACGTTTCATTATATTTTTCACTTAATTAGACCAACAAGCGGCGCGTTCTAATGCAATAAAGCCGCCTCTAGCCACGCCGAAATTCACCTTATTAATTTTATTAGCGCTAAATAATTACGCCGGGGCGACGCTGATCCCTAAAAATTATTTATGTGGGTATCTCTCCAACCACTCGCTACCCGCCCGCGTTGGAGGCGGCCAGTTTATCACGCACTTATTGAATACGTCTAGAACGTTCCCGAAATGCTCTATTTACGGGTTTTAACATAATGGAAATAAATAAGAGAGGAGTCAATTCGGAGCGTTATGATTTACATTGCGGTCGGTATAGTACCCTGTTTTGAATTGTTCACATGTATGTAAATATTTTAGTACTTGCTGCTAAAATATTTAAAAATGGTGGAAATAGGCGGTGCACTTATCGTCCGGTTAGTCACTTTCTGTAAAGGCCTTAATCTATGAAAAGTTTTGTTGTTATATATAGAAATTTTCGTTACGTTATTTACGTTTTTGGTAATCACCGTTTGACTGCAGCAAGTATTTTACCAAGGATTTGAATGCATTTTTAATACTAAAAGTTATTGAATGAACAGTTCAGCTGACCACACTTCTTAAATCACTATAAAATAAAAAAAACGTATAGTGGGACACCTAGTTGGAATGAGAGGGGTCTTCCTTTAATGTGATGGTCAATACGAGACGGCCAATTGAAAAAATTTCTTCCCCATCGGTTATCGGTACTACTAGCTATATGGCCGTTGCATTGTCAATTCTGCTTACTCATCTCCTAGCTATGACGGTTATCCTTATTCTACTACGGATATCATCATTGCGAACTCTATCACGCAGATAAATACATAGTACTGCCCGCTTATCGTCATACGGCCAGCAGAATTCAGAATTTCTTGACGGTCTAAATCTCACAGATATTCGATAACAAGTGCAGTGACGTGCGATATGGAGTCTCGTTGCAATAAATAAAAATATGTATGTGATAGAAATCACACATGCGGAATATGTTCGGATACTTTTCGTAAGCCGACGTGGCGGTGGTTCGGGCACGCGCGCTCATCCACACAATCTAGCCTCCGTGACATCGCAACCGACTCGCCCCCCTTTAGATAAGATCATGTAAGTTCGCCGCGAAGTGAGTTATGGGCGGAACTTACCGCTCCTCAGGCACTGCACTCCGTCGACAACTTCGAGATCGGCCTGTCCATTTGTGGCTCTTTAGTTTTTGTCTCGACAAACTGGTGTTTTTACTATGCGGATGATTACTAATTAGGTTCACTGAATACTACCTAGACGGGTGAGCTTGGCTAACTACGAACACGAATATAACTTTTTGCTTTCCTAAGTGTAAAAAGACTAGGTGTTTCTTCTTTGTTTTATGTATTTCTCATTTTCTTGAAACGTGTCATTCATAATTTAGGAGTTAAAGTAAACGTATGAGTATTCAAATGAAAGTTACACTACGCAAGTTGGGCACACGAACCTTCGGGGAGTCTGTCTTATAAAGATTCAAGGACAGCTGGAAGTTTCAGGCGCAGCGTACATACATACTGTTTACATTTAAAATGGTGCGTGAATCCCGTCACTTTCGCCCGCACTAAAACTAGATCCATGCGGGGGAAAAGTGCCAAAAGTTTTCCAATTACTTATTCAACGACTCCATTCAGATGAAATTCACCGCTCTTTGAACAAGCGTACCGGGGAGAAGAAATCAGCGGGTTGGTGAGCGGGAGAAACTCACGGGTAAACATTTGCGTATGTAAACTGGAATTATTCACGAAAAAACTTTTAATGGCGTCCCCCGAGTTCCCGTCAAACATTTATCAACAAAAGAACGAACGTCCCGCAGGCGATGGAACTTGAAATGTATGGAAATTACCCAGTCACGGGCGGGAGAACAATTCACTAACGGCATGGGAGAATGTTTTTGTCGCGGCTTGTTTCGTCGGATTTCAAATTGCGCGCGTAGGAAGCCTGGAACTGTGAGCAGCGCCTGCGCTCAGCATCGTATTCCTAAATGGTAAATTCGCCTAGCCATAGTCATTCTAACGAGTTGCTCATTCTTTGATTTGCAAGTAATAAAACTTAGACGCAAGGAAATGTCGTCAGCGCGTCTAACTTCAAACAGTTACTGTTCATTCTGCGTAATGCTCGTTTCCTTAGTTACATTTTATGCATTAGAAGTTATATTATAGTTAGAATGACGGTTTTGTAGATTCTTCTTATCTTTATTCTTTATTTCCTAAAATCAGTTAAATATTGCATTTACACTTATTATTTACTTATATTAAGTATTAATTCATTGTACAAGTAATGGTTTCATATTCATTCCGAACAAAGTTCTTCGGTGTTAACATTTATTATAAGTCAATTAAGACGACTTTGCTCCTTTCGCTACTGACGGGCCCATAACTGAGCTCCACGAAAATCCGTGAGTCGGGAAAACGTAGACTTCTAAATATTTATATGATTGCTCTCTAATTTCGAAGATTAACCAAGAAGTTTAGATAGAATAAATACGTTCCGAACGGACACCGTTACATTTGCATTTCAATCAGAACGCTATAGCCGGTGGGAAGGAAAATCCGCTCCGTCGCCTCACTTAAGGCTTAAGCAATATTCCCATAACTTTTGAATCGGCGACAAAAAGCCTATTTGAATTGGGGAGATCAAAGTGCGAAAATTTGTCTTCGCAAAAAAAAAGCACGCGAAGTAAGCCCACCCGAAAAGGCTTCAGCCACTTATTATTTCAACAGAGACAGTGTCTCGCCTCTCCCACTCTATTTGTCTTTCCGATTGTTCCGGTGCATAGACTCCTCCATTACTCGGCACTGAAAGGAAAGTTTTGTATTCAATTTGGTATTATAATTCCCATTTCAAGTCGCCACGCACCATCGCGCCAACATCGACTATGTAAATGGGCGCTTCCGGG